GCCCCGCCTCCATCATGTGACCCTGTGTGTGCGCACCTGCAGATGATGCTCTTCATCTGGGCGTCCTTCTCCTCCTGCTGCCTCCTCAGTCGCTCCTCGCTGTCCTCCAGACGGTTCTTGTACTCGTGCAGCAGCTTCTGCATCTGCTGCTCCTGAGCGAGCAGCCGCCGCTCGTACTCCTCGAGGCGCCGCCCGGACACGCGCAGGCGCTCCTTCAGCCGAGAGATCTCCAGCTCGTACTGTGGAAACAGGAAGCAGTTTCACAGAAATGAGCCCACTTCCTGCTGGGCTTCACCTGCAGACAGGTGTGTCTGTTACCTTCTCGGTGTTCCTGCCCTCCTCCCTGCTCCTCTCCCCTCCCTCCTCCTCCGTCTCCTCGTACTGCCCGTTGTTCAGGACCCACGCCGCCGTCCTCTCCACGGGAGACATCGCCACCGCCACCGCCTCCACTGGAGACGCCACCTGCACACAAAGCAGTGACATCATCAGAAACACGCCTGACACACTAAAAGTCTGAGACTTGTCTTCCTGTCGTACCTGTGGCATCTGCTTGGTGGCGCTCTTTGGGGGCGGAGCCACGTTCTCCACAGAGCAGGTGGACGGTTGGCGGTTGATGATGCCAGCGGCGGGGGTGGGTGTTGGTTCGGTGTTGGCGCTGCTGCTGCTGTGCAGCGAGGCGCTGTGTGCAGCGGACCGTGGCGTCCTTGCCCCGCCCCCTTTGCTCTGCTGCTCCACCTTTATGATGTGGGCGGTGCCCGCTGTCGTGCTCTGACGAGGGATGGCGACCGCTGTGGCGGTGCCGGGCGGGAGGTCTTGCAGGGCGTGGCGGCGTGGCGTAGAGCAGTCCTCGCTCTGCGTGCTCCGCCTGCTGCCCGCCTCGTCCAGGCTGCTGTTGGACGGCGCGCGACCTTTGCCCCCCACCTGGCTGCCGAAGTCGTCGGAGTTGCTGTGGCTGTTGTGGGAGCTCTCGGTGCTCAGGTTCTCCGAGCTGGAGTCCTGCCGCAGCGAGTGGGCGGAGCGTGCTGTCACGCTGTGGGCGGGGTTACTCAGGTGGTAGACGGGGTTCTGGAACGAGAGCGGCTGCAGGCTGCGCTGCTGGCTGACGGAGGCGTGCAGCGGCCGCCTCACCTGCGGAGCGCTCTGTGGCTGTCCGTCTCTGGGCGGGACTTTTGCCTGGTGCGGCGCCGGCTGAGGCGTGAGAGGGTTGGAGTGGGAGTAGGTAACCGGGGCAACGGCATGTCCGACGGAGGCCTGCGAGCCAACCCTGCTGAGGCGGGGCGGGGCCTCGTGGTGTGGCGGGGTGTGGCTGTGGAGGCTCTGAGCGTCCTGCAGGTCGACCAGAGAGATGCTGCGACCGTTGGGCAGCAGCGTGTCGCGCTCCTCCTGGTCGGAGAAGCTGGCGTGGTTGGAGGGATGCTGCGGAGGCAACAGGGGGC